GGAATGGATACTGCACTTTCTGGATCAAAGTGGTTTTTTTTTTTTTTTTTTTTTTTTTTTTTGCGGTCCTGTCCAGTCTAGAATTTCCGGAGTGGGAAAAAGAGAAACTATGATCACGGTTAAAATTTACTTGTTGAGATTAAGTCCCTAATCTTTTATGATAAAGAACTCTTGCTGGGGAGGACTTGATCCCATGCCCAGGCCTAATTGCTAAGTTAACTGCTTGTACAGATCTCCCTCTGGTGGACATATGGAGACATTACAGAATTTTATTTTATTTTTATTTGTTATTATTTTTTAAGAGACAAGGTTTCCCTGTATTGTCCAGGCTGGTCTCAAACTCTTGGCCTCAAGCGATCCTCCCACCTTGGCCTCCCAAATTGCTGGGATTACAGACATAAGCCACCTTGCTTGGCTGACATTATAGAATTTTATACCAGGTGTATGCAGTAAAATACCAAATTGCCAGAATGTGAGATACATGTAATTATAAATATGTGCATATGTGTAGATATAGACATTAAAATGTATACAAATATGAGAAAATTAATGAAAACTCATGTCTTTATAAATATATTTTAGTATATACATGATAACATCAAAGGAAAATCAGCCTGAAGCCTGGACGTAGAACATTGAAGATTTGCAAGGTGTTCACTCTCTGATTAATATTGTTGTCTTATTACTCTTTGCACAACTGCTCTCAGCCATTCAGTGAACATCTGACTGATAGTAGCAACAGGATTGTTGCTCGCCTTTCGGCTGCCATCTCTTTGGGGCTGAGTGATATTGCAGGTTTAAAAGGCCTTCGGGGACAGAATTGGTTACTTTGAGAGGCATGAGGAACACCTTTGTGACAATCCTGTGGCTCTGCACAAGGCTAAATTCAGCCCTTAACAGATACTCCAGAGAGAGTACACCAGTCAATCATCAGCTTTAATTAGTATATTGGAAAACCAGGGGGCTGGCTGCAGTGGCTCACACCTGTAATCCCAGCACTTTGGGAGACCAAGGCGGGTGGATCACCTGAGGTCAGGAGTTCGAGACCAGCCTGGGCAATATGGTGAACCCACATCTCTACTAAAAATACAAAAATTAGCCAGGGTTGGTGGCAGGCGCCTGCAATCCCAGCTACTTGGGAGGCTGAGACCGGAGAATCGCTTGGACCTGGGAGGCAAAGTTTGCAGTGAGTCAAGATTGCGCCACTGCGCTCCAGCCTGAGCGATGGAGTGAGACTCTGTCTCAAAAAATAAAAGAAAACCAGGGTAAAATTTTCTCTTCAGATTAGGAAAAAACCAACTACCCTGCATAGCAGCCTAATCATTTACATCTCCATCTCCATCTCCACCTGTATCTGAATCTATCCCCGTATCTATCTATATCCATCCTATCCATCTATGTACGTATCTTTCTACCATCTATATTTGAATCTAGTTTCCCCTATAGCAAGGCTCATCAGCTTTGTATCCACGATATTGTAGAAGCCGAGCAGTGCCACTCAGGTATGAAACCAGAGGGAAAGAAGAGGGGAGTAAAACAAGCCTCAGAAATGGAGTGGAATGGTGACGGGAGAGAGACAACAGGAAGCAGGAGGAACTACCATTTACTGTGCCACTGTTAAGCACTTAGCACACATTATCTCATTTAGTCTTCACAACAATCCTATAAGGGCAGAATTATTTTCTCTCATTTTAGAGACAAGGAAAGCAGGACTCTGAGAGTTTAATTACTGTATCCATGGTTACCCTTCCCTTTGGCGGCACAGCTGGGATCTGAAGGCAGGTGTGACTAGAGAGCCATCTATACCCGGCTCTGACTCTTAGGATGAGAAGAAAGAAGATGAAAGGCAGGAGAGGAAGGAAGGGAGAAAGGGAGGGAGGAGGAAATGAAGGGAAATGGTGAGACGTCAACATTGGTTGAGGGTCAGGGTCATTGAAATCCCACATTCTGAGCTAGAAGGTCGTTTTCTAATTTTTCCCTATGTGAGCCATGCTGATTTCTGAGCAATCCCTGAGCTCTAGTCAAGGTCTCAGTGTGTATTGATTGAGTGAAGTGTTGAAGCTGTTCTGTCTTTGAAACTGTCCCATGGAGTTGCTGAGGTGACCTCCTGGGAAAGCCTGCCCATCAAATGCTGTTGGAGGGAAAGGGAGAAGGGAACACTTCCAGTGTTTCCCTGGTGAATGGTGTATTAACCTGGGATGGCCTACTTATAGCCCGATCAACCAGAAAGCTCGTGAGTAGGGGAAAATTTTGATGTTTAACGATGATTTGGGACAAATTTAAGATGAGATAAATTTAGGTTGCATAGCACAGTAGCTACTCTGAAGAAAACAGTGACCCAAACTTTGACCAATAATAGAATCTGATTTTTGAAGAACAAAAACAGAAAAAAGAAAAGAAGTTCCTCCACGAGAGGTACAATGAATTCTCAATTATCATCTTGGAGTGAAGAAAAATGGTCATCCGGCTGGGCACGGTGGCTCACGCCTGTAATCCCAGCACTTTGGGAGGCTGAGGTGGGTGGATCACCTGAGGTCAGGAGTTCGAGCCTGGCCTGGTCAACATGGCGAAACCCTGTCTCTACTAAAAATACAAAAATTAGCCGGGCATGGTGGTGAGCACCTGTCCCAGCTACTCAGCTGGAGAATCGCTTGAGCCCAGAAGGCGGAGATGGCAGTGAGCCAAGATCATACCACTACACTCCAGCCTGGGCTACAGAGCAAGACTCTGTCTCAAAAAAAAAAAAAAAAAAAAAGAAAAGAAAAGAAAAGGTCATCCAACAATCTTGGCAATAGAAGTGATTACCTTTGACTCATAAACTCATTCACAAATGCATACACACAGACACAAACTCACACTCCCATTTTTAACACACAAAAGAAGTAATCATTTGTTAGTTCAGATATCCCCACAGTATTTGAGGCTATCTTATAAGATACCACATTCCTTTTGGTACCACACATTCGTGTGGTATCTTTCTTGATAATCAATTGCCAATGAAGTCTTGATATTCAATTGCAAATGAAGGAGTAAGAGAAAAAAAAATAAATGAAGTTTACACAATGGCAATGAGCCAGTGCCAACAATCAGCTCATATACAATCAAAAGGATTCCATCTGGGGCAGGAAAAGGGACTAGGTTACCCATGAGATCTTTTTCAGCGCTGGAATCCTATGTGCCTATTCAAAGGAGAAGCCTGAACTGTTGTTTCTTTCTCATACAGATACTTTGAGAAAATCCCAGCCTTGTCATTCTTCTTGTAAAACCTGCAATGGATCTGCAACTCTGTGCACTTCATGTCCCAAAGGTTAGTGTGTTGTGTGACAGGAGATGGCAGCAGTCAAGCCAAGTCATTGAAACTCATGTGTAGTGGCATCTTTGTGTAAGGAGGTCTGTAACGCCTTGGTCTACTCCCATCACATGTTCCTATGACAGTGGCTACTTGGGAGACACACAAGGACCCAAACATTGACCAATGATAAAAACTGGTTTTCAAAGGACAATACAAAGAAGTGGTCGGGTGCAGTGGTTCAAACCTGTAATCCCAACATTTTGAGAGGCTGAGGCGGGAGGATTGCTTGAGCCTAGGAGTTTGAGATCAGCCTGGGCAACATAGTAAGACCCCATCTCTATAAAAAATTTTAAAAATAGCTGGGCATGGTGGCATGTCCTTGTAGTTCCAGCTACTTGGGAGGCTGAAATGAAAGCATTGCTTGGTCTCAGGAGGTCAAGGCTGCAGTGAACCATGATCATGCCACTGCACTCCAGCCTGGGTAACAGAGCAAGACCCTATCTCCAAAAAAAAAAAAAAAAGTTTCTTGATCTAAAGGCATGATGAAGAGGGACGGAGAAAGAAATAAGAGCAGCAACATAACAGCTTGATAACTTACCAATTGCTTCATCTATAGAAACAAAAATCACAAATAACATACCTTCCCTGAATTAGGGGAATATTTTACTTAAATGGTACACTGACATAAAGAATGTTTAAGTGGGCTGGGTATGATGGTTCATGCCTGTAATCCCACACTTTGAGAGGCTGAAGTTAGAGGATCACTTGAGGCCAGGAGTTGGAGACCAGCCTGGCCAACATGGCAAAACCCCATCTCTAATAAAAATACAAAAATTAGCCACATGTGTTGGCACATGCCTGTAATCCCAGGCTACTCAGGAGGCTGAGACATGAGATCACTTAAACCTGGGAGGCAGAGGTTGCAGTGTGCACTTCAACCTGGATGACAGAGCAAGACGCTGCCTCAAAAAAAAAAAAAAAAGAAGAATGTTTACATGATCATTATAAAGTCCGTGTTGGAATGTACAATGTTAATAGTGGAATATGATGCAAAAGCAGAAAAATTTACAATAGGCAAGCCACGATTATAATCATAAAAAATATAAAAGGTTACACTCAAAAAGCTAAAGCATTTTCTTGGAATTTTGGGTTTGAGAGTGATTTTGAAAACTGGTTTTCTTAATGAGTATCTGTTGTTCGATTAAAAAATAGATGGATCCTCTGTTAAAGGGAGAGTTGGGTGGAAGAGTTGTAACTCTGTGCCGAGCCTGTAATCCCAGCACTTTAGGAGGCTGAGGCAGGCAGATTACCTGAGGTCAGGAGTTCGAGTCCTGCCTGTCCAACATGGTGAAACCCCATCTCTACTAAAAATACAAAAATTAGCCAGCTGTGGTGGTGCACGCCTGTAGTCCCAGCTGCTCGGGAGGCTGAAGTAGAAGAATCCCTTGAACCCAGGGGGCGGAGTTTGCAGTGAGCCAAGGTCGCACCAGTGCACTCAAGCCTGGGAGACAGAGCAAGACTCTTTCTCAAAAAAGAAACAGTTGCAACTATGTTAGTGTCCTAACAAGATGAGCTTTGGGAAACAGAGTATTAATAGATTCTATCAAGCTGTGCATGTACAGCTGCCTTACACCAGGAAGACGTAGACAGGGTGTTAACAAGACTGATCAGCTGGGCAAAGGGAAGCCCCGTCATGACCTCTACCTAATATCCGTGGGAAAGGAAAGAACCAAGGCAAAAGCCTCTTGCTGTCAATTGCCTTCTAGAAATGTAACTCATCCTGGAGGACTTAGCATCACTAGTAAATATTTTGGTAAGCCAGAAATAAGTGCCTGGATACTTTGGTCTTTGGAAAGGTTAAAAAAGCCATGTCTCCGCATAGAAATACACATGATGACTATTCCTATCTTCCCTGGATTTCTAGATGCATATCTTCTGGCTCAGGCCTGTGTTTCCTCCTGTCCCCAAGGCACATGGCCTTCCGTAAGGAGCAGGAGCTGCGAGAACTGTTCGGAGGCCTGTGCCGTCTGCTCTGGAGCCGATCTTTGCAAAAAGTGCCGGATGCAGCTGGACCTCCCTCTCTTCCTCCATGAAGGCAGGTGCTACTCCAAGTGCCCGGAGTAAGTTTCCTTTTTAATTTTACTTCCTGCTTGTAGTCGCTCTCCTAAGGTACTTTGGGAGCAATTCCTTCTTGTTCACCAAAAAACTCTTCTCCACTCTATGAGCGCCCACATAAATGTCCTCTGTTGACTGACACGGCTATGGGCCGCAGCAGCCAAAACTTACATGAGGCCAGATGCCCACTTTTCCTTTGTGACTATTTTAGGTGTATATTTTTACTTTTATGAAAAATACGTTCAGGGGCTGGGCATGATGGCTCACATTTGTAATCACAGCACTTCGGGAGGCCAAGGCAGAAGGATCGCTAGGAGTTTGAAACCAGCCTAGGCAACATAGCAAGACTCTGTCTACAAAAAGTTTAAAAAATTAGCCATTGGGGGCCGGGCGCGCTGGCTCACGCATGTAATCCAGCACCCTGGGAGGCCGAGGCGGGTGGATCATGAGGTCAGGAGATCGACATCATCCTGGCTAACACGGTGAAACCCCGTCTCTACTAAAAATACAAAAAATTAGCTGGGCATGGTGGCGGGCACCTGTAGTCCCAGCTACTCGGGAGGCTGAGGCAGGAGAATGGCGTTAACCTGGGAGGCGGAACTTGCAGTGAGCCGAGATGGTGCCACTGCACTCCAGCCTAGGCAAGAGAGCAAGACTCCGTCTCAAAAAAAAAAAAAACTTAGCCAGTGGGTGCCTGTAGTCCCAGCTACTTGGGAGGCTGAGGCGGGAGGATTCCTTGAGCCCAGGAGATTGCAGTGAGCTGTGATTGCGCAACTGCACTCCAGCCTGGATGACAAAGCAGGACCCTGTCTCTTTGAAAAAAGAAAAAGAAAAAGTTATTTTCCCACCTTAATGATCAACTGTTGTCATGGTTTTTCTTTTTTCCTCCATTACAAAAGTAAGGCTGTGATGTGAACCTCTTCTAAAGGTTTAAATAGGTGAGGCATGAATTATAAATAATAAATAATACTTGGTTAGTTAGTTATTGATTCCTCCCGGTTTCCTTGGTCCCCTGGTTTGTAATTGCTTTACTCTTCCTACTAATGGTCCCACCTCTAGAATTTACCTAGGAAGAAAGTGAGGAATAGCAAATGGAAGAGTACAGCAAGAAACTTTCAGCAATAAGCAACAGACATGCCAAGTAAAATGACTGAGACATAACAGGGTTTATTATCTCACAGAACAAAAATGTTGCAAGTCCAGTATCGGTCACTTCAGCGGCCAAGAAGGTCATCACAAAGTCTGGTTTTTCTGTTTTGCTCTTGTACCTTCCTTAGCTCGTCCTCTCTGACCAGCGCCGCTGCTGAGCCCACTTTGTGTGTCTCAGCTCCAGACACTGTCACCCCATGCAGCCACGATCAGGGCCAGGAAAGGGGATGTCTCCCCTTGTTTATCTTTTTCTTGAGAGAAAAGAAAATTTCCTCAGACTTCCCTGCTCATCTCAGTCCCAAGAATGCATCACTGATACCTCCCTAAATCAATCTCTGGCCAAAAGAATGGAAATATAGGCGTGGTTCAGGCTGGACAAGATTTACCCCTGAGCACCCAAACAACTCAGGACTCTGACAGCCAGGAAGAATGGAGAGAGGAAGGCAGGAAATAAATTTGGGGAAGTAACTGACAGTGTCTACTTTAAGGAGTTAGGATTTTCTTTTGCCCTCTTAGTAAAAGAATTTGATACTATGACACCTGTTTCCCGGCTGGGCATGGTAGCTCATACCTGTAATCCCGGCACTTTGGGAGGCCGAGACAGGCAGATCACCTGAGGTCGGGAGTTCAAGACCAGCCTGACCAACATGGAGAAACCCCGCCTCTACTAAAAATACAAAATTAGCCGGGTGTGGTGTCCTATGCCTGTAATCCCAGCTACTCGGGAGGCTGAAGCAGGAGACTCATTCGAACCCGGGAGGTGGAGGTTGTGGTGAACTGAGATCACACCATTGTACTCCAGCCTGGGCAACAAGAGCGAAACTCCAACTCGAAAAAAACAAAAAAGGAAAAAAGCAAAAATGGCACCTATTTCCTAGTGACCTATTTGTTTTCATTACTGAGATAGACTCTATATATAGAGTATAAATATAAGTAATGAGTATAAATATAAGGTATTTATTCTCAAAAAGCATCCAATCTAGTGTAGAAAGCCAAGCATATTCACCTCAACAACACAGATACATATTTAGCACCAACTAGGTGTAAAAATTGATACTGATACAATATCAATAGATTGTATTGTATATATGTAGCTCAGTGGAGTCTATTCTTCTACCAACAATTGATATTGATATTGATATTGATATTGATCCTTGATATGGAAAGCTAAGTTAAGACCCACTGAAGGAAGAATGGGTCTGCAAAATGCTTATAATCCAGTAAGGGAGGTTTACATCAGGCAACGTCACACTTCTCAGAGCCTTAATATACAAAAGGCTTAGAGATTCCAAGGGAAAAGAAAAGATTTTAAATCACTATTTTTTGAATGCTTGCAATGTCCAGGTATTGTGCTAAGAGCTTTAAATGTATGATCCCATTAATTCTCACAAGAATTCTCTTATTCACATACTATTATTTTCCCTCGTTTGACAGATGAGGAAAAGAATAGCAGAATCCATTTTACATGTCAGATACATGGTGTGGTCAGAATTTGAACCCAAACCTCTCTGGCATTGAAGTCCATGTGCTTAACTATCACTCAGTGCTGCCTTCTTGTATAATTATTTTTTTAATCACAACTTTATTGAGACATAATTCACACACCATACAATTCACCCCAAAAGCGTATAATTCACTGGTTTTTAGTATATTCACAGAGTTATGCAACCATTACCACAATCAATTTCAGAACATTTTCATCAACCTAGAAAGAAACCCTATACCCTTTTAGCCGTTATTCCTACTTTTTGCATTTCCCCCAGCCCTTAGCAACCACTAATCTACTTCCTGTCCCTATAGATTTGCTATTCTTGGACATTTCCTATAAATGGCATTGTATAAAATGTGGTCTTTGAGCCAAGCATGGTGGCCATGGTACACACCTCCAGTCCCAGCTATCAGGAGTCCAAGGCTGGAGAATTGCTTGAGCCCAGGAGTTCAAGGTCAGCCTGAGCAACATAGCAAGACCCTGTCTCTGAAAAATGAAAACAAAACATACAAAACAAAAAAGACAAAACATGTTTTTTTGTGACAGACTTTTTGACTTAGCAGAATGTTTTCCAGCTTCATCCCCGGCTGGGTATTTGAGAAAAAGCTTGATGGTCACTAGCTCTGGAAGGATTTTGTCAAGCAGAGAGTGGAGAAAGGGTAGCAAAGGATCAGAGTAACAGAACCCAGGTGAGAAGGCAGGTTTGGAAACTTCCGGTCCTCCTCCCCTATCAACCGAGCTCCCTCGCAGCAAACTCAGCCAAGTGTTACAACAAAGCGAAGGTGAAAGTCAGAGAGCTGCTTACCAGAGTCAGTCATTGCTTCCTCAGTGGTAGGATTGAACTGGTTGTCATTATTATTGCCTTATTTATTTAATCATTACCTTTTTCAACACTCTCTTGGGTTCTTTGAGTGTTCCAGGAATTCACAATGCATTAAAACAACGAAGAAAGAGTGTATTTTGCTTTACTCCAGTTAGTCGACCGCTCAACATTTTTTACCTTCAAGTCTGGGGTGAAGCATTTTCATGGAGCAGTGAGACACTATGCAGACATGCAGCAGTCAATATAGTCTGTATTGCTCGAGCAGTAGGAAAGCTACGAGCATGGCCTAGAAATACTGCAGACTATAGAATTGCAAGCATATGCCCTCCTGCTATGGGTAGGGTGATCTGATTATAGTGGAATCCCTCATCTTTGTGTTTACAGAAAAAGAAAACTAACAACAGAAGACACAGAGTCTGAGGAACATATAATATCCAGCTTATCTTGGAAGCTTTATTGCTGTTTCTGAGAAATCACCCTTTTGGGTGTGATCCATCCTAGAACAGCAATAAGATTTATAACAGGAACATAACCTGCAATGACACAGCATCCAGATATTCAGAGCTATTTATAAGTTAGCATTTAGTGGCCCCTGCTTTTTCAAATATAGCATATGTTCATGAAAAAAAAAAAAAAGTTGTTTGTTTTGTTTTGTTTGAGACTGAGTCTCACCCTGTCACCCAGGCTGAAGTGCAATGGCGCTATCTCTGCTCTCTGCAATCTCTGCCTCCCAGGGTCTAGCAATTCTCCTGCCTCAGCCTCCCGACTCATTAGGATTACAGGCTCATGCCACCACACTCAGCTTTTTTTTTTTTTTTTCTATCTTTAGTAGAGATGAGGTTTCACCATGTTGGCCAGGCTGGTCTCAAACTCCTAACCTTGTGATCCACCCACCTTGGCCTCCCAAAGTACTGGGATTACAGGCATAAGCCACCGCACCCGGCCAAAAATAGGTTTTAACAGTAACATATATCTTTTGTTTTGTTTTGGTTTTTGAGATGGAGTTCCACTCTTGTGGCCCAGGCTGGAGTGCAATGGCGCCATCTCAGCTCACTGCAACCTCCGCCTCCCAGGTTCAAGCAATTATCCTGCCTCAGCCTCCCAAGTAGCTGGAATTACAGGCATATGCCACCACATCCAGCTAATTTTTTGTATTTTTAGTAGAGATGGGGTTTCACCACGTGAGCCAGGCCGCCCTTGAACCCCTGACCTCAGGTGATCCATCCACCCTGGCCTTTCAAAGTGCTGGGATTACAGGCATGAGCCACCATGCCAGTAACATATATCATTATGGTGGTTGTTTAAAAAGCAACAGAAAACTTAAGGTGGACTCACATTCACCAAACGTGAACAGATTTGAAGCTCTGTTGAATACGGCCTTCCTTTAAGTGCTGCCGGTCGCTGTCTTGGTGTCTGTGAAATGGAGGTGAAGGTCCTGGACCACACAGCTTTCACAAGACATGGATTTATCTGAGCTGAAAGACTGCAACACAAAGTAATTGGAATTTAACAATTTAGTATATGCAACCATTTCTTTCTAAAAC